GGGTAATAGATAAATAGAAATGAGATATGAGGCAATGAAATTGTTTGATGTGATTTTTTCCCCACAACTATATGAATACATGAATATATAGAAAATTCAATTTGCATATTTATATCTTATCAATACTTTAACCAATTTTTTTTTTTGTCAAATTCTCACAATTTGAAACTAATTGTTATAGTACATACACATGTTGCCCACCACGCTGTAAATACCATATATTGCGTCAGTATGTAGAAACTTCAGTCGAAATTTTGTCATTGTATGAATACATTCAATGATTCTGCTTGAGCATCAGACGACGTATTTAAGGTTATCAGTTAATGCATCAAAGTTCTTCAGTAACTTGTGGAAACATACCGAATGCTAACAGCGAAATGCCAGATTTTCAACGAGGGAAAAAAAAAAAAAAATTCAAAGGTATGGTCCTGGTTCTAGACACACACACACACAAGTCTAGCCGCCGGGCCGGAGAAACGTGTGAAGACCGTCACCTATTGGGGGAAAAATTAATACAATTTATGTTTATGGGCTATAAGATTTTGCTATAAAAGGACCAATATATGCCCCTTACTTCGACGAACACAACATTTAATTCTCACTTCCAAATTATAAGTTTCGTGGTCGACAAGATATGGCTCTCAAAATGAACGCAGTGTTAGTAATGGGGCTAGCCATCTTGAGCTTTGTCTCAGTGGCTTCTGCTACAGCTGGAACCGCCACCTTTTACACTGTATATGTTCGTGAGTATTAATCTCTCTACTTATTCATGTACTTATTATTCTAATATATTGGTTCCATTCAGTCTCACCACTTAATTAAATTAACTAATATTTATCCTGATCACCTATATGTGTGTGTATTTCATGCTTCCTTAAAAAATAATACTTGTACTATAACTTTTCCCTACACACTAAGGCACTCAAAATCTACAGATCTAATGGTACTGGTTCAATGATTAATGGTTCAAACCGCGTTATCAAACCGATTATAATACAACGTTTTCATGATCTTTGCTGGACAGAAATTAAATATATAACACATGTATATAATACAAAGAAAAAATTGAACATCCGTGGAGTCGTGGTGTTAGTCCTGTCTTGTTTCCGCCACTGGGAGAGACATTAATTGGTGGCGTGTGAATGGTTGATTGGCTGCAGCATCGGCATGCTATGGATATCAAGATCAAGGAACTATGATAGCAGCAGCAAGCGACTCAATCTGGAACAACGGAGCTGCATGTGGCAAAATGTACAGGATCACATGCACCAGCGGCACCAACAGTGTGCCTCAGCCGTGCAAAGGCGGAAGCGTCACCGTCAAGATCGTCGATCGCTGCCCTTCTCCGGGATGCCAAGCCACCATCGATCTCTCTCAGGAAGCTTTCTCTGTCATTGCTAACCCTGACGCCGGAAAAGTCAACATCGACTATGTCCAGTAAGTATCTATATTTCCTGTTCTGTTTCCTTTACAGTACTGTTACATTTAATTTCAAGTTCATTTTATTAGTGCTGACTTTTCTGTTGTGGTGTGTTTTCAGGGTCTAATGCTTCTGGAAGAGAATACTCAAGAAAAATGATAATACATATAAGAATAATTAATAACACGTACATTAGTTACATGTACGTGCTTCATGGAAAATAACACAGTATCATTTTCCATGGACAATGTATGGACTGTAGCCCTTAACATTTTAATAAACTATTGTTGTTATATTATTTTTCTTCGTCCCGAAAATTATTTTTATTTTTATTATTTATAGTTTTTTTTGTTTTATCATATTCGTAACCGTTTCGTTCTTTTGAGTGATTCGGGATATAACAACGAAAAGGGAGCAGGTACTTAATTAATTATAATAACACCGAATTGAAAGTGCTTGTTCTCTTTAACTTAAATTCCCAAACGGTGTACCCTTTTTTTTCATTTTTAGATTATACAATCCAAAATGTTTTGCCAATATATGCAAGGAGAGAATTTATCAAATATTTTAGTATATTTTTTTTTTCGTGATAATCACTCATAACAAGCCAAACACGTGTCTTGGCGTTCGTCAAGCATCACATGAATTTTCTGAAATTTATCATTTTAAGAAACAGATAATAGATTTTATATTTTATATAAGAAATAATAAAATAAGGGGAAAAAAATAAAAACTTCATAACAATTTATGGATATCAATTTCAGAGAATTTATACATTATGTTAAAGGATCAAGCTTATTTTCTACATGATGTTAAAGGATCTAGTACCATCACATGAATGTAAGGGCGCAATTGTATTCTTACACAACATGGACAAACGCCAAGTATAGGTATATTATATGTATTAGATTCTCTCAATAATTAATAATTAATTAATAATATTACTTATATATATATATATAATTGATAATATTACTAATGATCCTTATCAAGATAATATTACTAATGATACCTTTTCAATTCATAGCGTAGAGAAGTAGCATGCCAATACGTATTACAAGGGTATGAGATTTTCTTCCAATTCAAATGGAGGGGAAAACAAAAGTTCAAAGCAAAAATGGCCTCTTTCGATGAATGCGTGAAAGAGTACTTCAAATCATAGAAACTAGTTGGATTTCGAAATTGATGCACGTGAATCAATTTTAATTTGTTAGTTCACAAAAAAAAAAAAAAAAAATCTCGCAAAGTTGAAGGCCCAGTTCTCCTCGCAACTAGAAAAAGGAACTTTTCTATTATCTTACTTTACATGTTCAAATTTATCCTTAACATAATCTAATAATTCATTTATCGTTGTGAAATATGTCTTTAAGATTAAAAAATAATTTTTATCTCTTGCAAAATTTTAAAAAAAATGAAATAATCAATTAGTTATACATTTTTTGAAAATTTAAAAATCAAACGGGGCATTAAATTGGGCAAGACACCAAGTCAAGGGTCAATGGTTCAACTATATGGTTAAACAGTAGTTGAACTAGTTATAATTAATTTAATATATTTTTATTTTATTTGATAAAAATTACGTAAAAGTAGAAAGCTTTCAACAAAAATAAAATATTATTAATGAATTAAGACTCAAATTATTTTTATAGATGTAAACTTAACTATCAGATAATATTAAATTTATAAGGTGTTGTATTAAAATATCAAATGATTTTTTTTATTCCGACAACTCCACTGTTAGTACTCTCTAGTCTCTTGACTTGAACCAAGCTAAGATTAAAAAAATGTATATAGGGATATAATTGAAATATTTGGATGTTTCTGAATAAGTAAATTCATGTAATAGTTTTTCTTATTCAACTTGAAAATATTTAAAACATCAATTTTATTATAATAAGGATGGGATGATTATGTTCTACGGCATTTTCTATGAAGAAATTAATTATATGTACAAATGCATAATTACAACTAGTGTTATTATAATTGGATCAAACTGGTCAATTCAACTAGTTAAACCTATCCCAAGTTTGGTTTGGTTACCACAGAAAATTGAAAAATTTAAGAATCAGCCAAGAACTAATTGAATCAGCTAAAATCAGCAAGAAATTGGTTGAATCAAACATGTTATTATTTTATTATTTTAATTTATTGCTAAATCATAATTTATATATATTTATATCTAACAAGCATTATGGAATGAAAAAAAAAAATGGAATAACTATGTATGAATTATGTATTTTCTTTAAATTGAGAAAACATAACTTTGAGTCTCTGCAAGTTGCTCGAGTTTTGCTATAGATCTCTGCACTTTTTTTTGATGTTTCTGGTCCCTACATTTTTATTTTTCGATGACCTAGGTCCTGATACCACTACTTATGAAGGGATTTAGAACATGAGAAAAAATATGTAGGAACCTATAACAAAACTCGATTAAGTGTAAAGATTCAAAGTTACATTTTCTAAAGGTATTATTATTTTTATATATTTTTGTTTGAAATTTAATCGTTCATTTTTGTTACTATGTATGATTATGTTTTTCTACTTTAAACATGTAACATTTAAAATATATCAATATTCATAATCAGTTAGATTATAGTTCACATCATGGTCTGACAATTGAACCATGAATCAGCATCTTAACTAGTTCAATAGCTAGTTTGGTTTATAATTGTTTGTACTCAAATTGTGAATATAAAAGCCCTGACCCAACTCAACTTAATTGGCTTTATACAAGTGGGTTGAACTTCGATGAAACATGTTCGATTATAGTATTAACAAACGACCAACAACTTCTGTTGCATGCCAGCTAATACGTACATATATGAGCAGATGAATCGAGAGTCCTAAGTTGAATTGTGTATCTCAGTATTAACTTAAGTTCTCAGTTGGCTTTGGCTGTAACTAATTAACAATCTTACATTGGAGTTCTTGTGAATCAAGACTGAGAGCAAAGGCTAATTAACAAAACTGCATTGGACCATCATCGTCTCAGGGTACTTTGGTGGTAACTAACAAAGCTACATTTATTTTTTATTCAAATTATAAAGTGATTTTTCTTTTTTTTTGGTGAGATACCGCCTTAAGCATTTTCGGCCAACAACAAACACTAGGAATCATCTCGATATTAAGAGCAAATGATAGTTTTTTTTTTTTTTTGTCTTCCTAGATTTACTCAATGTACACATTTTCTTTTGGCAATGTACGCAAATTGGGAATCAAACTGCCACCACTTTTTAATTTTAACTTATTTTAGTCTCTCATGCAAGGTGGGCCGGTGAGTCCTGGTTATGAGGCCACAAGAGCATACCCAATTAATGCTAGGCCCAGTGTTTTTTTTTAAAGTGAAAATAAACTTGTCATATTATTTCAATTATCTATGTCACTTCATTTTCAAATGTATGACTGTAAAATATTTAATTGTATCATTCAATAACAAGGGACTTCTAGTTTGTCAATATGAGTCCGGCCGTCTCTCGTGGGGACAATAAATAAATATACAATTTATGTGCAATGATTTTGCTATAAAAGGAGAACTAATCTCTCATGAAACACATTCAACTGGGGAGAACAATTAAGTGAAATGGCTCTCAAAATGAAAGCAGTGCTAGTAATGGGGCTTGCCATTCTGATGAGCCTTGTTTCAGTGGCATCTGCTATTTCTGGAACTGCCACCTTTTATACTGTATACGTTCGTGAGTATCCCACAGTCTATTAATCACATTAATTGTTACCTTCTGCGTAGAATGTCTTCAACCTTAAACTTGCTAATTAATCATGTTGAAATATGATGTGGTTGGTTTAATTATTGCAGCGTCTGCATGCTATGGATTCCAAAACGAGGGAACTATGATCGCAGCAGCGAGCGACTCGCTCTGGAACAACGGAGCTGCATGTGGAAGAAGATACACAGTCAGGTGCACTGGTGGGACCAACCAAGGGGTGGCTCAGCCTTGCCGGAGTGGAACTGTCACCGTCACGATTGTCGATCGCTGCCCTCCTCCGGCATGCAGAGGAACCATCGATCTCTCCCAAGAAGCTTTCTCCGTCATCGCTGACCCTAACGAAGGAAAAATCAACATCGACTACACCGAGTAATTATATAATTAACTCTCGCTTCTATTTCAATGAATCGATGATCATTACATTATTGCATTTTATTAATTATTTACTTTACTGAATTTTTCTTTGGTTTAATTATCAGGGTATGAAGCTTCAGGCTGCTAGAGCATACGACTGTATATGTAGCTAGGAGCATTGCAGTTAATTAATGGTGAATAACACGTACATAATATGTACGTCAAGGAAAATAGTTCATTGAACTATGTCTCAATTGTTTCAGTTTGTTTAACGTTTTTTAATTAATAAAGTATATTTTTTTAATTTCTGGACTCGTACTAATCAGTTTTAATTTCTTTCTTCTGCTTGATACAGAACAATAATGAACAATGAAAGAGGAAGCATCAGTCAATTATATTATTATTAATTAAAGGATCATAATTTAAAATTGTAGTTGAATATTTGTTGAAAAGGAAATAATGGAACTTTGGATGGTCAGGTCGCAGCGACAATGGAATAAAACCAGATGAATAGAACAAAATGGCATCATGGCATGCAGAGCCATCAAAATCATATATTATATAAAAACTACATGCCAGGAGGCCCCAATCACAGTTTCAATAGAGACGTACGTGATATAACTTGTAGAAATAATACAAGAGGCGTGAACTTCGAAGAACACGGTCGACTATAGTAATATGTAATAAGACCAGTAATTTCCGGTTAATATATATATATATATATATATATGCGCACGTGCATCAAAAGTCCGAAGTAGGATTGTATATCTTGGTTGAGGATTAAGTTCTGTGGGCACTATCTATTATTGAGAGCAACAGGCAATTAACTTTGGTTGTGAGTTGTAACTATGCAAATCCTCTGTTGGTGCTTCTACCTCGGGGATACATTTAATTTGTTTATTGAAATTTTAAAATGAGTTTTTTTTATTAATTAAAACTTTATCAGGGTGCATGGAATAGAATACTTTGTTAAGTGGATCCATATAACAAGGAGCAAGTGAACTTGATATGGTAATAGAATGTAAAATAATAACAACACATGATAAAATTTTTAATCATTCAAGTTTATCTTAGTTATTAATTTAATCTCTTAAGTTTAGTTTTTATCAATTTGGTATTTTTTATTTTTTTAAATTATCACGTGCATTCTTTAAATTTTGAAACACAAATTGATGTGACATGTATATATATAACTAAATGAGTAAACTAACCTTTAAATTAGTTTAATTTTGATTAATATAATCATCTACACTGTATTTTATTTTCTTGTTTTTTAGAATTTCAAAATCTATTTTTTTCATATATAAATAATTATACTTATTTTTATTAATATACGTGAGTCGTGTAATATGACTACTAGCAATATTCTATAATCAATGACAGCAAATTTTAACCATATAAACTTCTTTTTAAACATATATTAAAGTAAACTTATGGAACCAAATTGATAAAAATTAAATTTGAGAAACCAAATTGATAGCTGAAACAAATTTGATGTCTACACTATTACAGGATAAGCTTTTAATAGCAAATAAAAAATATTTTTAACAGCGATTCTGCAATGCTGTTTTTCAGGAAATGTTAAAGTATGTGACTTTTAATAATGATTGTCCAATCATTGTTAAAAATAAACTTTCAATAGTAGGTCTATATCTGCTATGGAAAGTTGCAAGAGGAATTTTTTTTGAAAAAAAAAAAGAAGACTTTTCAACAATGATTCTGACCATAATCATTGTTAAAATTAAAGTCTCACAACCGCTATTAAAAATCCACTTTTAATACTAATTAAGGGAAGAATCGCTGTTAAAAGTTGACTTTCAACAACAGCTATGGCTAAAATTGCTGTTAAAAGTAATTTTTTTAAAAAAATTAATTTTGTTTCTATCTATTTTCTCAATTTCTACAAATGAAAATGTTCTATACAATTTATTGCCAACCAGCCAGTTCCAGTACATATAAATAATTCAAATTTCAATGCAAAATTTTATAAAAATTACACAAAACTCAAATGATCTTAGACAATTTGCTAAAAAACTATCTAAACCTCACATACCATCCACAAAATATTGTGCCCAATGTGTGAGGATGTCGTCAACCTCTTCCTCAAAAAATGAATCCGTAATGTCAAACATCTAAATTAAAGTATAAATTTGCAATTAAAACATTAACCAATTAATTCAAGTAATAATAAAATTGGCTTTTAAAAAATATAGTTACCCCATTTATAAATTTAGTCATTCCCAATGTGATGATATTGAACATGGGCCGACAAGGGAGGTGTAGGAGAGGAGAAGATGATGAATAATAGAGAAGGGGGCACGGGTTACAACATGAGGGAGGTGTGGGGGAGGAGGAAGAAGATGATGAGGGGCGGTTTTTTTTTTATGTAGATTTGAATAAGATTCAACAGTGGATGACACATCACTCGCTGTTGAATCTAAATTTTTTTTTAAATTCCCGCTTTCAACAGGAGGTGGCTTTCACCTATTGATGAATAAGATTCAACAACAGATGACACATCACTTGCTATTGAAATCTCACTTTCAACACATCACCAACTGTTGAATTTAAAAAAAATTAAATTTCAACAATGGGTGAGAGCCACTTCCTGTTGAAAGTGAGAATTTTTTATTTTTTTAAATCCCACTTTCAACAACAAGTGAATGTCACCCTCTGTTGAAAGTCTTATATTGGTTTTTAATATTATAAAAATGTCACTGCCTCTACTTTCAACAACGGGTATGTTTTAACCGATGTTAAAAGTTTCTTATAAAATACAAATTATACATTAGTGCTAGAAGTTTCATTATCTCTAATAATAATAATACAAACGAATAACCACAACAACAACAACATAAAATAAGTAAGAACAACACGCACACCATTAACTGTGCGCCATAAATCATAATGTAATATAGAGGCTTCATTTTCGGGTTTTCATGCACAATATGTCTCAGCTAGCTTGCAGTCCTTATATATGTTTCAATAGAATTATTTATATATAGTATGGTCCATTCAACTTTTTTACCAATATGACCTCTAGGAGGGAACAAAAGTATTTTGGTATATATTAGAATTTTTTACCATAATCGTTCATAATAAGGTAACTGCATCCACATAAATGCATATATAAAAACATAGTAACCTCTAGGAGCTGACTTTACATGTTTACATCTATTAATTTTTTAGAACATATACTGTGTATCTCTTTTTTTTTCTATTTTTAATAGTGATAATTATAAAGTTAGAAATTTTTTGTTTTAAAACATATTTAATGAATTAATTGTCGTTCTTTGTATCATGTATGGATTGTTTGGTTGTACTTGTACAGGTAGGAAGCATTTACTATTGGATTGAGGAGGCGTAGTGAAATAATAAAAAATTAAAACAAATCCCCAATCATGATCACGGACCTATTAAACTCATTTAAATTAAGGTGGATAAAAGAATTACTTTTCTGTCTTCAAATTTTTCATGTGTTTTCTTCAAGTATTTTAGTCCTTAGGAGCTGACAATGCAAATTTTCTTCCTATACCAATATCCACACAAATAACTTTCAACTCAAATAGCGTGTTAGCGCTGAAAACGTCCGTCCATTTTCTTAAACATCGAACTTCTCTTTTCTCAAGGGTGTTTCCATGGCTCTCACTGTATTTTGTTGTCAAGACTTTTTCTAACTCATATTAAAACATGCCCCCTTTTCTATAATATATAGATTAAAGTTTTTAGTCTTCCTCTTGAATTTTTGAAAATAACCATAACTATTTCAAAAATTATATCTTGAGCTAACAAAAATTTAATTAAATTTATCTCATAAATTTAATTTATGATATCATATTTAATTTAAATTTATCTCATAAATTTAAATTATACAACTAATATGATATCTTCTTATACCATGCTAGTTATTAAATTAAATTTATTATATAAATTTAAATTTAAAACTAACATAATGATATAATGTGATATGATATGATGTGATGTGATATATAAACACAAATATATATATATATATACACACACATATTTCAAAAATATGCGTGTGCGCCCCCCCCGCGCACGCGAGCGCGCGTGCACACACACACACATATATATAATATTTTGAAGTTTATATTTTATATACACAAATATTTATCAGATAAATATTCAAATACAAATATATATAATTTATTCATCCTAAATAAAGAATTATATCCATTAAATCTAGATACATTTCAGATTCAAAAAATTTAGACATTATAGCTCAAGTTGGGTTATTCTTATATACAATCCTATAGGCCTATATGAAGTTGGCAGTAAGCTAATAACACTACAATTCACAAGTCACAATTAGCCTCTAGCAAGATATTATGACTATCCAATTCATATAGGGATCAATAATCCGATGTAATCTATCATATAACTATATCACATTCCTTTTGTCAAGCAACATTTCGATTAAATGTGAGACATGAAATTGTTATTCTCCTTTATTTGAGCATTACTTTCTTGATCTATGAGTGGATTGGCTATAGCAATAAAAAAACTCTTTTTATTGTAGTATGGTCATACATTTTCTCAGCTTTACTTACCATGAAATCCAGTAATATCTCTCAATTAATGTGAGAGATAAATTTCATCTTGACTACTTACATTTCTTTACATGAATATTACTAAACTCAATTATAGCCTTTATGATCACCCGATCAAAGGTAACTTTTGATTAGATCAAAGTTCAATAGTCATTATATAGGAGTTCATGATGATCTCAAGTCAAAGGACTTAGTAATATGGTTACATGTAAGATAAGCTTATGACTTGTATTATGCAGCTTTCTCATAAGGGATCGGTTCAACACCTTGTATGCTTTCAAGTGCATATAACTTTGATTTATATATCTATAATTAATTAAATTCATACTAGTCTTATTTCATTTATAATCCCTCATAAATAATCGACCAATGATATTTAGAATAATCACTATAGTTTGTTCAAGGATACAGTTATCATAGTGAACATGCAATTGATATGATAACAAAA